AGAAAAAACATAAACATCGTAATGTAAACAAATAAACAAAACGTTTGTTGAAGATCGCGCATAGTTGCGGTCATGTCAAAGCGGTCAGACTGTATATTAACACGTGCTGAACTTACAGTAGAGACAAATTTTATTGTTGCCGTAATGCCGTTTGACTGTTTAAGGGTAAAATTAGAGATTTGGGGTAACACGTGCATAAACTTTGTAAATAAATTCGCATTCACACCGCGTAAATGGCTTTTCATGGCCGAGATATGGAATTCACGGCTCGGTGAAATAGAATCACGGCTCGTAGAAATGGAATCACGGCTGGCAAATCCATAAAACCACGGCTTGAAAAATTCAGTCGCGGCTCGCCAAGTAGATATATTCCATACTAGGCTGAGGGCCTAAGGCTCAAGCCTCAAGGCTGAAATAAGAATTTTCAAGTAAAACATGAAAAGTCACATCACATGAATTCCTCCATTACATTAATTGCCTACAACACATCCCCACAAAATGTTTATGAATAGTGAATACTATAGGCCTAGGTAAGCTACTTGCTTAGTTGCTTAACTTAACTTGCTTTATGGCATATTGCACATAAAGTCTGCCAAGGTCAAGCCAGCCAAGGCAAGTTTTTTTTACCATCATTGGATTTTTAGGCTTCTAGAAATGTACTACATTTAGTCACACATATATACAGTCGTTGAGTCGTATTCGTAAACATCAATGACCTCACCGTGGTCCGTGACTGCGAACGTACAGAAATTAGCCACAAATTCTTCTATTAAAATTAAACTACCAATGGAACTTAATTAGGCAACACACAACCTCAACAAACATAAGCTATACTCTGCCTTGAAGCCGCAAACCACTCAGGATGGCTTTTAACCTTAAAGAGCATTAAGAGCAGTATGCCAGAACTTCACCCCTACCCTATTCCTAACCGCCTAACACAGGCTGTGGCCAAATGAAACGATCGCACGCCTGCGCGGCTGAGTGATGCGGTCCCCGTTTCCCGAATTCCGGAAAGTTCTGTCCGGTTGGACTGGGCAAGTAGGTGTTTACTTCCTATCTAAAACCTCTGCATACATCATTCACTCGTGAACCAAGGCTGAATATTTCCTATGCAGTCTTCAATGGGTTAACAAAATTAAATGTTCTCTAATGATTTCTATAGATGTCATCGATCGATCCGCTTCATCATTGATGCTGGTTAAGATGTATTTTACTTTCAGCAACTGAATGACACATAAAAGTCGCGTATCAAATGAATGATGATTTTTACCTATCAAGCTGCTACGTTTCATTTGAGCTTATGGCCGTAGAAATGTGCAGTCTAGACTATTTGATATAATTATATGCAGTTGGTAGCTGAAGCTTTGCTTTCTTTACGAAATATTTTAGTTTTCATAGTTTCTCTGCTTAATATTAAACGTTTATACAAGGAAGCGTATGAATCGGCGTCATGATAATTGGTTCTGTGCAGTAGGTATACATTTTACATGTCGCTCCAGCCATGTGATGTTATATGTCTGGAAAATTTTTCGGTTCAAAATTGTCATTATTCGAAATTCGAAACGTCCATGAATAGCATCGTTCTTAATTAGGTCTAGATCGATTCCGATTTAACGAAATTATACGTGGAAAACCTGCTAAAATTTAACATTTAGCGCGGTAATTAAAATCGAAGCTGAGTACACACATTCTATCGATGTTTGCATGAGCGTAATGTCCATGAAAATCTCTATCTTTTATTAATTTGGTCTTGAGCCTGTTGAATTTCAGCTGCCAGGTTTTGATTGTTTTCATAACTTAAATGAAGAGCAGTGCAGTAGAGGTGTAGCTCTGTGGGTTAGAACCTCTTATGGGGCCCAGCAAGTTAAGTTATCTGCAGAGCATCAATCAGCTAGAGAATCANCATTTGTATCAGCTGTTCAAAGTTGAGCTCTAAGGAGTACTCATTTCTCCAGAAATCTAAATTGCTTCATTGGTTTTGCCGTGATTGCGAAAAACCAACTCTTGGTGCTCGAAAAAGAGAGGAGTTGGTGGAAGAGCACGGCAATGAGTCGAAATTGTTGAATGATGTAGTAAACTCCTTGAGTGAGATGGTGCTGTCTCTTATACACATCTAGATGTGTATAAGAGACAGGTTTAGATCTATGAACAAGGCACGAAATGGAAAAGAATCGGCGACAGGCCACATCAGGCCTACACTTCAGAGCCGACATCACTATGTTATGTTATGTTATGTTGATCGGTTTCGATTTAACAAACCTATGCGTGGAAAACCTGCTGTTTAAATTCGTTCCCGAAATCGTCCCAAAAATTCGTCCTAAAAGTGTCGATGTGATCGCGCGGCAAAGCCTTCAATAGTCAATATGCCGCAAGCTTGAGTCGATTAATTTAAGGATATCCAGCGTTTATTCGTTCATGCCATGGTTAGAGAATGAATGTCTATACCTAATCGCATTATCGCTACCGCCATCCTGTGTCTTCGAGAATTTTGTCTTTTCATCGTGCAGCATTGGTGATGAATGAAAACCATACATTTCGATGAATGAAGTAACAAATCTTGTTGCATGAAACAACACAGTAACACATGTTGATGAATGAAGTGGCATACAATAGAGGTAGTGTCAGCACTGAAGAGGCCAAATCTGGCCTGTCGTCGATTCTTGACATCGTAGAATTCTCACAGTTTGCTGGGATTTCGAATTCGCAACACACTGCTCCAATCTTTGGACTCTGAATTAAATGCATCATAATTATTGACAAGGAACTGAGATGCCGTCAATGCTAAATGAAGCCCGCGGCTATACCGAGATGAATGTTCACTGTAATGAACCAGGATTCTAATCAACAGCGAGGTCTTGCGACCACACATATTATCGATTATTGGAGTATTGGAAGTCGCCCGAACAAGAGGGATCTTGAGGAAACGCAGGCAGAGCGTCCACCAAATACCTTATTCAACCCATGGTTAAACTAATTATAAAGTTCAACCTTGATTCAATCAATTTCACGCATGTTGATAACATCATACTTCATCCGTGAACAAGGATTCATGCTCGAGTATCTTGAGAGGTCTACCGGGTTTATAATAATATAATAATAATATTAATAGCGGTTTCAGCGTTTATTAGGCCGTAGGCCTGTCGCCGATTCTTAACATCGCAGAACATTCACAGCATTTTGAGGTCTCGAACTTGCAACTCACTGCTACAATTCTGCTGTGCTTAACCGTCCGTTTAAATCTAAAATAAATAAAAATTTTGTATCCCCTTTAACTAGCTAGAAGTGCGCTTTAAAATTGAATTCTACGATCCATATGCACAGAGATGTGTAGTTTCGTTGATAAATTGACTCAATTATTCCATTTTTTGTCTAACTTTCACATACGTTTGTTTTGCAGAAAAATTTTATTTACACATCATTACTCTGTACGCCGAATATTGCATGTGGTCTACAAATTGCGACGCGAGGGCGAGGACACTTCATCCACCTGTTGCTCTTGCCGACTCTTCATATGAAGACAAATAGCCGGCCGCGCCGCTCGCCGGTCATTCGTACAGCTTATGGAGACATTTTCGGTTCAAAATTGTAATTTTTTGAAATTCAAAAACGTCCAGAAAAAAGCTTCAAGTAAGAAATGCTTTCTTAGGTTTAAGCGATTATTTAATTATGCGTATAGCGCATAGTTTAGAGGGATTTATTTATGGGCAACTATCTATTGCAGAAGAAATAATTGAAAATAAAATCGTATTAAAAAATATATTTGCGCTTCACGAAGGTTTCTGTTAGAATCTGATAAAACAGAACCCTGGTGTCCATGGGCTAAATATTTCAGTGGCTCTGGCGCACCGCTGTGAGGTGGATGTGTGCGTGGCGCTCACTTGCGGCATACAGTGACTGGTTCTTATGCTTCACTATTGAAACAGTGACTGGTTCTTATGCCTCACTATTGAAACAGTGACTGGTTCTTATGCTTCACTATTGAAACAGTGACTGGTTCTTTTGCTTCACTATTGAAACAGTGACTGGTTCTTATATGTTTGTAATCATTCACTTGTTATTGCCTGATACGATTTCGTCCTTTAAAAATATTTAAATATATTTTAATTAGGTGTTTGCATGACGATTTTGGTTAACATAAATCTTGACTCGTGTTCCTGAATTATCTCAACTCCCATGGGCAAAGGCCAAAAACTTGTTCATTAAAAAAATATCTATCAACCTTGCAGTGTCAAGCTGTCATTTTTTGTGGGTTACGGTGACATAGTGACTCTCAGAGCGGGAACGTGTCAGAAAATTGATCATGTTAAGAAAATAATGCGATATTATCGAGGATTTAATTGATATTTTGAAAATAAATTCTGTTCTAATTTTCAGTCTAAATTAAATCCATACTTTAGGCTGATGTTGCTAGTTGAATTGTGTTGAACATAGTGCAAATCTAAGTTTGATTATTTTTTAACACTGTCTCGAATATTTCATCCATGAATCGCGACTTGGATGAATGAAAGCATGTATTTAAATTTGCAACAAGAGTCTTGAATGATTTTCTCACAATTGACGATGAAGGTCAAATATTTCAAGATTGATGAACACCAAATTTATGTGTTTGCTCCTCCTCTAAGAAAACTTTGATAATTTGTATAAACTGTAATTAACATTGGATCTTGACTCAAGATCACAGATTGTTCTAATCATTTACATTTATTTACAAACAATATCTTGTTTACTAGTATGACTGGGCATGTGGCGAAGACAGAAAAAAAGGATATGCGTCCCATTAATATTTTGAATACTTGTGTTGTAACTGAAAATATATAGAAAATATTCACAATACTAATTACATTTTAGAAATTTCACGTATATAGTAGTATAGTGTATAGTATAGTAGTATATAGTATATTACATTGCCTGGTCTCGATGGTAGATCCCTTCCCATTTATCCCAACCACAATCATATCGAAGTCCGTCAATAATAATAAAGTTGAAGAATTCTAATTCAATAAAGACCTGCTCACGCATAATCTTACATAGAAGATGTAACACAAACCCGATTCACGTTTCCAATTGCAAAAAAATTGCATCTTCTAAATTGAATTTACAGTATGTGTACTATTTGAAAATAAATTTTCAATATACGATGCAATCTTGTTCTCTCAGTTTTGCAATGCCTTGCTGTACTCTCTATATATATCAATTTAACTCAGTTATCGAGGATTCTTCAAATGATTTATCTATGGTTTATTGTGGATTGACGCCCGAACAGTACATGTATTTACGGTGCCAATTGTCCAACAAAAATATTGACAAATAAGTAAGAGGTTTCTCAACAGGAGTTCAATTTAAATTGCGAGCATAAACGGGTCTTTCATCATTAAAAATAAGTTTAACGTGAAAGTAATTAAAGGGATTCAAATGAACGAAATCAACAAATCAAGGATTGTCGAATATTTTGTGCTTGAGACGCCGTACTTGAAATATGTAGCGTTTATTTGAATGCGTTATTTAATGTATACAGATAATACCTGGACCTAAGAATTTATGCACAAATGTGGAGTCATGAATTATTGCTAAGCGGGGCTTGAATTTAACAATTGAAATTTATTTTGTTTGTGATTCATTGCACATGAGATTAATATAGTGAAATGGCTTTCGTTTCATTTTTAGAGAATCGTTTTTAAATACTTTTATTTTTAAAAGCGATAGTCATATCAAGATTTTCACGAGTTTTCCTGTAATTCTTTTAAATACAATTTATAAATTCATAATTATGAATGCCAATCGGACAAGCAGAAATTATATTTATACGTACCGAGTAACAATGGGGTTGACATTCTAGTTATGGACGATTAATATACGAAACTTACCACAGAGCTTCGAGGGTTTTCCTTGCAATACTAAAGAAGTTCCGTTCTGTAGCTTGGCAGCGTGCCTGAGAGGTGCATCCATGCGTGTCTAGAACGCTTTTTATGACTCTTGATGCAAGAACAAAAAAAATGATTATATTATTATTATCTGTGGACTGTGCCAGTGAAGATGGTTTGCATTTATTTAGTAAACTAATTGGAATATTCAAATAGTCTCGAAATTTTGAGCAAGATAATTGGAATTTGTTGTCTATATTTAACAATCAGCCCTGACCTAAACTCTTTTATATAAATCATGAACCCTGATTAAAAAACGCTTATATGAGAAATTAGCATTCACTTAACATAAAGTAAAATTTACACTTGGAAATTTATGAATAAATAACGCAAGAAATGTAAAAGTTTATCCTCGATTGTATCTGTACTGAACTTCTCAACCAAACCTGGGAAAATATTCCAGGAAAAAATATCGAGTTAACCAACAGTTATCAAAGCATGAACACCGAAACGAGTGCTGCACATGTACGCAGAGAACATGGGCCCAGAGAACATGTACATAAAGAAAATGTGCGCAAATAACATGTGCGCAGAGAACATGTGCGCAGAGAACATGTGCACAAAGAACATGTGTACAAAGAACATGTGCACAAAGAACATGTGCACAAAGAACATGTGCACAGAGTTCATGTGCACAGAGAACATGTGTACAGAGAACATGTGCACAGAGAACATGTGCACAGAGAACATGTGTACAGAGAACATGTGTACAGAGAACATGTGCACAGAGTTCATGTGCACAGAGAACATGTGTACAGAGAACATGTGCACAAAGAACATGTGCACAGAGTTCATGTGCACAGAGAACATGTGTACAGAGAACATGTGCACAGAGAACATGTGCACAGAGAACATGTGTACAGAGAACATGTGTACAGAGAACATGTGCACAGAGTTCATGTGCACAGAGAACATGTGTACAGAGAACATGTGCACAAAGAACATGTGCACAGAGTTCATGTGCACAGAGAACATGTGCACAGAGAACATGTGCACAGGGAACATGTGCACAGAGAACATGTGTACAGAGAACATGTGTACAGAGAACATGTGCACAGAGTTCATGTGCACAGAGAACATGTGTACAGAGAACATGTGCACAAAGAACATGTGCACAGAGTTCATGTGCACAGAGAACATGTGCACAGAGAACATGTGCACAGGGAACATGTGCACCGAGAACATGCACATAGAAAACATGTTCGCAAAGAACATGTGCGCAGAGAACATGTGCGCCGAGAACATGTGCACAGAGAACATGTGCGCAGAGAACATGTGCACAAAGAACATGTGCGCAGAGAACATGTGCGCAGAGAACATGTGCGCAGAGAGCATATGCCTAAACTGTAGCTTACACACGCACAGCTGCTCGCATCCTGTTGACGATAAGTCGGCGCGCACGCTGCTTCTGAGCGCGCTGTTTACGCTGCAGTTCAGGCCGCTGTTTACACTGCATTTCAGGCCGCTGTTTACACTGCAGTTCAGGCCGCTGTTTACGCTGCAGTTCAGGCCGCAGTTTACGCTGCATTTCAGGCCGCTGTTTACACTGCAGTTGAAGTCGCTGTTTACGCTGCAGTTCAGGCCGCAGTTTATGCTGCAGTTCAGGATGAAGTTTACACTGCTGTACTAACAGTTTAAGTTTCACTTGCCGCTGCTCTTCTATCGTCAAGTCGCACTGTCGGCGGTCGTCTTGCAAAGCTCACTCCCAATGCGGTCGCTTAGATCTCGCGCGACTCGGCCGCACAACTTTTATGAAACTGACGTTCAAATCGCAAAAATCAATCCTGAGTCTTGCCGAAAAATTTGTCGCATAAACTGTTGCTGTTGATCACAACTATCATGAAATGGAAAAATTCATTTCTGTTGCTTTATACTCTGCCTTGAATGTGAAGGGATGATTTGGGTACATTGATTGATGATTTTGATTGTGAAGGGAAGTAAAGGGTACAAAACCATAAGCTCCTATATGTTCATTTTAATTTCTGCTCTAAGATGGGGTTCGTTTCCCATGAACCTGAGATCTTTTTTGTTATCAGTCGAAAACATGGCTGTATTATTTACTAATTTGTTTTTGTGTTTTTCGTTACTGCGGGTGGCAAATTACGAGCTGTCGTCACTGCTGTCAATGTATATAGGAACGTTATGACTGTGCAAAACTTGACCATCATTAAAACTTTCTATAAATCGTGCTCATGCAAAGAAGTTGTGCTCATTAAACTTGCTCGGTGGTATTTGAATGTTTTGATTGCATGCTTAAATTTGGTGAACCTCAAATTTTTATTTATGTGAAAGAATAGAACATCATTGCAAAACTGTCAGGCAAGGATTATATTAAGAAAAGAAATCGCATTTGCAAATTGGTATTTATAAATTGAATCTATATAGTAGACTAAAAAAAGTATCTCTGCATTTTGCATCGATAATTTATTGAAAGTTTTATGTGAAATGTGAGTGAACTAGTCTTTCTTCTATTGGCCTACATTAGTTTTAATTTTATTTCGTGGGATGAAGTATTAATCCCACGAGACGCAGGAATTATCCATCAAGAATTATCGATGCCGGGCAGCGTGTGGCTAATCTGCTAGTTTGGCTTATTATTAATGACTCGGGAAATAATTAAATGATATTATTCAACAGAGACATATTTTAAATAAATTGTAATGATGTAGGAACGCTCATGGTTGAATTAATAATTCAACCATGGGAACGCTCATGTTTATTTTCAGCCAAAAATTTTATCCTGGTCACGTGAATTCAAGCTGGTCGTTGACTGTGACTGCGGAGCTCGTAAGAAAGAGTATAATGAATAATTAATTAATTAGTTATTTATTCAAGAATGCGTATGATAATCAATGTTAGCATTGCATGAGAAACACGTCATTATACAGGGTGTCCCAAAAAAAACGATACCAACTTTGAATGGCTGTAACTCGAAAAGTAATAGAGTTAAAAATTTTGAAAGGTCAGGATTTGTTCCCTATGTTTTTTTGCATCTCTCCACCAAAAATCAGACAGATCGATGTAGCCATAAGCGTTTGATAGAACTTTCAGTGACATGTGCTAAAATCGTGCTTGCTCAAAGTTTTAGTAAGATCATTTTGCATAATCATTACGTTGTCTTGACATGTTTTCTTTTCGCTGTTTGATTTTTAGCGCATTTTCTCATTAATGAAAAAATACACTATTGTGCTCGCCATGTCCGTCCGTCCGTCTGTCCGTCTGTCTGTCCGTCTGTCTGTCCATCCGTGATTTCATGTTTTCGTCGGCGAGAAAATGCGCTCTCTGTCACTCACTGCAGTGAGTACTGAGTTACATTTTTTGTATCTTTGGTGAGACAAAAACATGGCAATCTTTGGTGAGAGGCAATCATGACAATCTTTGGTGAGAGGCAATCATGACAATCTTTGGTTGGCGAGCACAATAGTGCATTTTTCATAAATGAGAAAATGCGCTAAAAAATAAAACAGCGAAAAGAAAACATGTCAAGACAACGTAATGATTATGCAAAATAATCTTACTAAAACTTTGCGCAAGCACGATTTTAGCACATGTCACTGAAAGTTCTATCAAACGCTTATGGCTACATCGATCTGTCTGATTTTTGGTGGAGAGATGGAGAAAAACATAGGGAACAAATTCTGACCTTTCAATTTTTTTTAACTCTATTACTTTTCGAGTTACAGCCATTCAAAGTTGAGTATCGTTTTTTTGGGACACCCTGTATATACAACAGACAGAATACGCAGACGGAAGGCGCAGACAAAAGAGGCAGGAAGAAGAAGAAAACGGAAACAGCAGACTAGACGCCCACGTATTGTGCAGACAGAAAAAACAGACTAGACGCTGACAATAAAGACGACGCAGACAGAAGACGAAGACAAGACGCAGGTGTCACCGAGCGGATGCGGGCTAGGGACCCTGTTGATGTTGTTGATGTTGGTTCATTAACGTGGATGTTTTATTCTTACGAGCATTGGTGCAGCCTAGCATTGTATGAGCAATAGCCATGTTTAGCCATAGCATTTGCATAGCATATTGTATATTATGTATGTAAAAATTGCTGTCACTGTGATGCAGCAGGTATTGCTGTCACTGCGGTATTGGAGGTATTGCTGTCACTGCGGTATTGGAGGTATTGCTGTCACTGCGGTATTGCAGGTATTGCTGTCACTGCGGTATTGCAGGTATTGCTGTCACTGCGGTATTGGAGGTATTGCTGTCACTGCGGTATCGGAGATACTGCTGTTACTGCGGTATTGCCCGTTACGTAGTATTGCCGCTCGGAAGCAGCAATACTCGTTACTCCGACATGAAGCGTCACAAGCAAGCGGACTCTTATGCTCGATTTATGGTCCAATTATCGGGCTTATCGTCCGCAAAGACTTTTGCCGGCATCGGAAAAGTTCTCAAGAACCTTGCGTGCGCGAGCTGATTTGTACCGATAATTAATATATAATTGGTACACGCAACCCTTGAGCGCTTGTGAAAATATTTCATACTTTCTTAAGTAATTTTTTAATGGTCTGCCAATTGTATTGAGTGCAGTAACAACAAAGTAACAATACTTCTCCTAGTTAGGCAGAAAATGAGCTGAATAATATGTATATTCGTATTCTCTTTTCAACGCAGTGGCTATAAACTCGCATAATATATTGTCTATGTTCTTATTTTTTTACTATTTCCACTTTTTTATGTTTCTTTTGATATTTTCTGCTGCTTGGTTTTGTTAACAATTTTTATACAGATCGTTGTGTTTGAGCGTGAACGGTACAATCGACTAATATGTTTGTTTCGAGATTCCGATGCAGCTTATAATTTAATTATTTTAAGACTTTGTCGTGATCTACTCCTATTTTTATTTTTCATAACTTGCCTTAGTGTTTATCGTCTATTTATATTTTGTTTCCTACGTCCTCACGTTCTTGTTCATGTTTTTTCATTAGGCTTTTTGTCTGTTTATTTCCATCGGCTTTTGTTTTCGAACAAAATTTGAGTGTCGCTGAGGGAGCCACGCCCTGGTGAGAAATGAGGGCCCAGGCGAGGGCAAATGGGGCTTTCTTCTCCCTATATTCTCTTCTTTTCTACTCCTATTTTCTTCCAATTCCCTCTATTCTCACCACCCTATACAGTTCTCTCCATCACCTCCCATTTTTTCTATTATTATTTTTTTGTTGATACTTATCTATTGTTTTTCTCTTTTTTTTTGTCTAATTCATATTTAAGCTTGGGTAAATTTGGACATATGTAATTTTCTCCATTATATTAAGTTGTTTGTTGCGTTCAGTGCAGTGCGCGGTACGCCTCTACCCGACGTCAATTGCGTTGAAGACATTAAATACTGGGAAAGAAGTGTGCTGGGAAGTCATTTGAATGAGTTACCAGTGTACTTAATTTGCATGATTCGCAGCTTATAATGAAGAATTTCCAGTATATAATGGATTTTCCAACCCGTTATTGGCTTTAATTTATTTAATTTATAATGTATTTTTATTTGCAGATTACGTTTTGATTCTATGAACTGAAAATAAGTGCGATTACATGACTTTGTGATTCAGTGAAATTTGTACGTCTCTTTCGTGAATTTATTTCTATTTATCTATCACTGAATAAATGACGGATCATATATGAAGATTCCATTGAAATTTATTGAAAAAAACTATTTCCCTCACTCGAAGGAATCTTGCAGCCTACAGAGTTTTATAAAGCTGGAAATACTAGCCTGAACGTCTCGAAGCGATGTGTGCGCTTGAAAAGTTCTCATGTGTTGGCCTGCTGATCATTTGGCTACATTTACTCTTCGGAAGTTACCCGAGAATTTCCGTAGCCTGCGGCCGTTATTCCAGTGAACCAAAATTTACGAACACGAAATCCTCAGGCAGGAAACGAAGCCTGGCAATATATGCCTGATATTCTTGTTGATTTAAATATTAGTTTGAAAATTTTCATAGACGTTCAGTTAATTTCAGTTCTAAAGTGACGAGCATTATAAGGCTTAAATTATTAGAAATATATGACTTGAAGCTTTAGTATCGATGTCATATCACTCACAGTGGAAGAAGATGTCTCGGGCTTGCATTCAGAGAAAATGTTTACATGTTCAGTTGCATCGAATTATCTAACTATTAACTGAATGAAAAATGGAAAGAATAATTAATCTAATCATAATTTAGATGTTCGTTCTGTGATCATCGGCAGCTATCAGCAGATGCGTAAAGTATCAAGATCACTTATTTATTTATTTATTCATTTATTTCACCATGGGACTGAATCAGTCCAAGAAGCGCCTGCCATCGTACGACGGAGAGCCCGGTACGTACTCATTACATTCAATGATACTAATGTCATTCCTTATGAAGTTAAGTTAAAATTAAGTGATATATTATAATGCTATGTAAAGGTTGTTATAATTCTAGATTAGTGCTAATCTACCGATATCGGTAAATCCGATTTTGATCTCATGATGTCATGATAGTCATCTTCATCTATCTCGGTGATAGGTGACGTAAGAATGAATCTTGTCCTATTTAATTAACCATCTACCGCCTGACATGAGTGACCGGAGCAATATTGTCACAAGCCTACTTTACAAAAAAGGATACTTTCTAGTGAGCACAAAATGGCTTGCACTGATGGTTGCCGCCACGTACAACTTTGAAATGTTCTCTGTTGCGAACAAACATCCTCAGGTTGCTGCACTCAATAGTTTACGTATAATTTAAGTTGAAAGTTATGTTCCCGGAGAGTGACATACGGCGGTAGAGGGTTAAGAGGCAAGGAACACATTAGTGACGATTTATGCAGAACATTCTGCTGCCTCTCGAGAGTAGTTTGCTCTATGTTGGTGAAACTAAATCATTCAAAAATCTATATTTACAAAGCATTAGCTCAGATTTCTCCCCATGCTCGGTAAAATAAATCACTTCGCCCCTGTCACTGGCAGGGCACGACTAGATTTTCGTGCGTCAGGGCGGCAGAGCGCGCCTGTCTGACAGACCAATTACTGCCGTGCTCTACTCGCATGTCTGGCAGAGCTGGGGCAGTGTGGGTAGTGCTGGGGCAGAGATGGGTAGTGTGAACAGAGCTGGGGTCTTGCGAGCAGAGCTGAGGTAGTGCAGACAGAGCTGAGGTAGTGCAGACAGAGCTGAGGTAGAGCAGACAGAGCTGAGGTAGTGCAGGCAGAGCTGAGGTAGTGCAGACAGAGCTGAGGTAGTGCAGACAGAGCTGTGGTAGCGCAGACAGAGCTGGGGCAGAGCTGAGCAGTGTAAACAGAGCTTGGGTCTTACGAGCAGAGTTGTGACAGTGTTTTTCATTTGCAGGCACTCGAGTTTGCTGAGTAAAGTTTCTTTATTTTAATTTATGAATGCAGAGTGAACGCGTGGTTAATTTAATCATTGTATGTGTATGGGTGTGATGAATGGCGGGTTACTTCTTTCAGCCAAAGGTTACGTTTGTTTATTGAATGCAACCAGTCAGTTTCTATAATTAATTAGATGTTCGGTGCAAATGCCGTAGAGTACCAACAAAAACTTCGACAAATTCAGCTACGTTTCCATTTCGTATTTTTATTCTGATTCACTTCATTCTATGGGATATGAATTCAAAAATTAAAACATTAAATATATATTCATAATGGTATGAATAGGGTAAATTTTATCCAATTTATAAATAATAGAAGATACTCTGCTCGGTTTTAGCCTTACAACTTAGAGACAGCCAGAGTTGTCACAATTCCTCGCTCAGCCGAAAAGGTCACCATGCATGTTTTAAAACTGTCAGAATAGTCCGAATAAATGTCAGTTTGTTTGATTGGAAAGTCACTTAAGGTTATGTAAGTCGCCCGAAATATCAAGCAAGGTTTTTTAAGGGGTAGAAAGATCAAAGGGCTCGTTTGGCCGCAAAAGGCCTCGAGATGTTATGATGAGGCCATTTATATGTCACTTGGTGACACGTTGAGGCAGTCAAGGTCACATGAACACATGTGTCAATGAATGTGCTACGTGTTTTATGATCACGCTGATTTCACTGGTATTGATCACGATACATGATCATCCTATAAAGGGATCAACAAAACAAGTAAAAATTAACAATTGCTATTCACTAATTGCAGTAATTACTGATGCCGTTTGAAACGCTTTCCTCAGCACTGGCAGCGGCCTTGTTATTGCGTCGCGGTGAAAGTGAGGAGAAGAATAAAGAGTGGCAAAGAGTGGCCAGAAAGGAGAAAGGGGGAAAATATATAGCAGAAAAAGAAGGCGTATAGCGCATAACTAGGTTGACTATAAGGGCTTGGGGTGTGAGAGGGGAGAGGGGTAAACCGTAATTGCTACGGATGAATTACACGGAAGGGGTGATGGGAAGGCAGAGGTACATCGTGTAGATTTTTAAGTACTGTTGAACATAAATAAAAATGCCATGAACTATCTCTCTATATACATGCGTTCTACTTTTATTAAGCGTCTTTTATTTATTTTTTAAAAGTTTTTTTCAAAAGATTGCTATGATGGCGGGGTGATTGTGGTGATGATGGTGATGCTAATGATTGTAATAATGATGATGAAGCTGATGGCGAGTCACTAGAGTCGCACCAACACTCTGCCGTCAACGGCCAAGCGCTCCTGCCTGATTGGCTTGTGTTGGCCGCTGAGCTGCTGATTGGTTTCTTAAATGGCTGGCTTGGTTGCGGAAATGATTGGCGGTAGCGGTTCAAGGCTGTGTTAGAGATGGGCAGAATAAATGGCTGGCTGTGGCAGAGATTGGCAGAATAAATGGCTGGCTGTGGTAATGATTGGCAGAATAAATGGCTGGCTGTGGTAATGATTGGCAGTATAAATGGCTGGCTGTGGTAATGATTGGCAGAATAAATGGCTGGCTGTGGTAGAGATTGGCAGAATAAATGGCTGGCTGTGGTAATGATTGGCAGAATAAATGGCTGGCTGTGGTAGAGATTGGCAGAATAAATGGCTGGCTGTGGTAATGATTGGCAGAATAAATGGCTGGCTGTGGTAGAGATTGGCAGAATAAATGGCTGGCTGTGGTAATGATTGGCAGAATAAATGGCTGGCTGTGGTAGAGATTGGCAGAATAAATGGCTGGCTGTGGTAATGATTGGCAGAATAAATGGCTGGCTGTGGTAGAGATTGGCAGAATAAATGGCTGGCTGTGGTAATGATTGGCAGAATAAATGGCTGGCTGTGGTAGAGATTGGCAGAATAAATGGCTGGCTGTGGTAATGATTGGCAGAATAAATGGCTGGCTGTGGTAGAGATTGGCAGAATAAATGGCTGGCTGTGGTAATGATTGGCAGAATAAATGGCTGGCTGTGGTAGAGATTGGCAGAATAAATGGCTGGCTGTGGTAATGATTGGCAGAATAAATGGCTGGCTGTGGTAGAGATTGGCAGAATAAATGGCTGGCTGTGGTAATGATTGGCAGAATAAATGGCTGGCTGTGGTAGAGATTGGCAGAATAAATGGCTGGCTGTGGTAATGATTGGCAGAATAAATGGCTGGCTGTGGTAGAGATTGGCAGAATAAATGGCTGGCTGTGGTAATGATTGGCAGAATAAATGGCTGGCTGTGGTAGAGATTGGCAGAATAAATGGCTGGCTGTGGTAATGATTGGCAGAATAAATGGCTGGCTGTGGTAGAGATTGGCAGAATAAATGGCTGGCTGTGGTAATGATTGGCAGAATAAATGGCTGGCTGTGGTAGAGATTGGCAGAATAAATGGCTGGCTGTGGTAATGATTGGCAGAATAAATGGCTGGCTTTGGTAGAGATTGGCAGAATAAATGGCTGGCTGTGGTAATGATTGGCAGAATAAATGGCTGGCTTTGGTAGAGAATGGCTGACTAAATGGCTGGCTGTGGTAATGAATGGCTGACTAAATGGCTGGCTGTGGTAATGATTCGCTGACTAAATGGCTGGCTTGGCAGAGATTGGCAGACTAAATGAGTGACTAATTTTCAAGATTGGCTAATTGTCGAGATGCTTTTGCTGTGTAGGAAGAGGCATGAGCGTAAACATTATACGGTAATCAGGATTATTTAAATGATGGGTGGATGTGTTTTTAAAAATACATCAATGAACTGCCTGCATGAATGTACATGTAGTTGGGAAACATTCTGCCTTGATACCATCAATTGCCCACCCTAGATAGGCCCAGTTCAAACATTCCAATTTTAAAATGATATGTTCGAAAAATCCAGTTTAAATATAAATACGAGACATGTTTTTTTAAGTAAGGACCGTTTTGGAATTAAAAAAAGACGTGCAAAGATATCGAATAATTTTATTTTTACATGAAAGCCTGTACCTTAATCTACTTTTCTACATAATTTCCGTGAATATTGAGGCACTTGTCATAACGTGGCGCAAGCTTTTGAATACCCTACTGATAAAATTCTGTCGCCTGACTTGGAGGTAAAATTCTGCGGAAAAACTCCTACAATTCTACTGTGTAACTCGTCAGGAAGATGAAATTTTAGGCGTTTTTCAGCAGAATTACACCTCCATTTCAGCAGAATTCAGAATTTCAATAGATTTTCAGAATTTCATCTCCAAGTCAGGCGACAGAATTTTATCAGGCGGGTATTCAAAAGCTGGCGCCACGTTATGACAAGTGCCTCAATATTCACGGAAATTATGTAGAAAAGTAGATCAAGGTACAGGCTTTCATAGAAAAATAAAATTATTGCGATATATTTCACGTCTTTTTTATTAATTCCAACACGGTCCTTACTTAAAAAATGCCCAGTATATTCCTTGCAAGTACATACATTCCTGTATGTAAATTAATTTTGCTTACTTTACCTACATTATATATGAACAAGTTTATTATGAATTATGCTTAAATTTTTGAAAGCATTAAACTCAGAGCAAAATTTCAGATTTTTTTAATAAATCTCAAATTTTGCATCGAACTACTGTGAATGCGACAGTCTTGAGCTTCTGATTTATCTTACACTTTAAATATGAAAACATGCCACAATTTTCCATTACGTCGAAGTCGTAAATCCGCGTTTCATGATTTCCGGTGAGCAGCAAAGCAGGCCGGCGTTTAATATAAAGCTTCTTTGTGCCTCCACGCTCGATCTTTTGCGGGCTGACTTAACGCCACAAGATTTGATCTGGCGGAATGATTGCAGTAGTGCAGAGATGCAGTGAAGTGACATGCCTCAGGTGCAGGGAATGACTGCAGTAGTGCAGAGATGCAGTGAAGTGACATGCCTCAGATGCAGGGAATGACTGCAGTAGTGCAGGGATGCAGAGAAGTGACATGCCTCAGGTGCAGGGAATGACTGTAGTAGCGTCGCGCATCATAGTCTAAAAACGAGAACTATTCATAGAGTTATCATGAAAACGGAAACTGTGAACGTGACAATGAAAGTTTGAATCCAGAAAAAAAACAATTTTCGAAAATTCAACAACGCATAAAATTTAATCCGGACTGGATCATTACGAGTTACAAGTATATTACTCTTCTTGTGTCGCTCCACAAAACTATAAGAAAGGAGCGTTCTAAAACCAAGCGCCTCTTGCAATCCCTCTGGCATTCACTCCACCCAAAGGCTTTTCAAAACTGCAACCCATTAAAAATATTACTAAAATCATCATTCAAAGACGGACACTTGCTTGTTTTTGGATGAAAAGCATTCGTTTCTTCTACGCCATTAAGGCGAGCGTGAGTTTCTTGCGATCTGGTCGGAGGTTGCGGCCATGGCGAATGTCTTACCTTTTATATTTGTTGCTTTTATTTTTATATTTTATTGACGCAGTCGTGTGGGATATCACATTTTCCCAAGGTATTCGATCGTTTCAAGGCCTGAACTAATTTGGATCCGTAATTTGGATACGCAATTTACGGTTGATTTACTCTTACGTGAAACCTTTGTTTAGATTTCACCGAATATGAAGATATTCGGTAAGCAGGAAAATCTGTGAAATTGGAAAATTTTTTTTTATTATGTAGACTTTCGTATGGAGAAAAATAAACAAACAACATACGTTTCACTCTGTGCAATCCCCCCAAAATGTGATTCTTATCAGTTCCGGTTTCATTGACTTTGAGCTCCCAAAAGACGTGCCCGGTGGCCACCGCAATTTTGGGATCATAAAGCATTTGTTTTCCGGCTCAATCATTTATAGTTTTCCCGCGTTTTGTTGTCCTTTAACTCCACCGCTGGCGCAAACAACGTCGCACTACCCTGGCATTTTTCACACTCCAGCAACGAGGTCATCACACGTACGTACGCACCCCGATGTCACATCGTAAACAAGTTATTATCACATGCAGAATAACAAAGCGCTGCGAAAACCTGCCGCTTATATGAATGTTGGCGGCAGGAAGCTATTTTGCTTTTGTAAGCGCCAGTCAATCTGGGTGTAGAAGGCTGGAGCGAAGGCCGGATGGAAAGCTTAAAAGGGAAACTGGAGGAAATTGGCTTCAAGGGAAGGCAGAAGACTGAAAGGAAAGCTAAAAAGGAAAGCTTGAGGGAAGTTTGTGAAGGAAGGCAGGAGGCTGGAAGGAAAACTAAAAGGGAAAGCTGGAGAGAATTTTTTAGGGGAAGATGAAATGCTGAAGGAAGGATGTAAGGGGAAAGGCAGAATGCGGAAGTATGGGCTTAAGGGAAGGCAGAATGCTGGAGGGAAAGCCGAAAACTGGCGAGAAGGCTGTAAAGGAAGGCTGTTGTTGTGGCTCGGCCTTTATTTTGATGAGGTCTCCGCAGTCACAAAAAATGATAGATTGTCGTCATATTGTTCGGCAGAGTGGCGTGTTGTGACGGTGCGCCATAACAGAGTGCGTGGTGCGTCATAACAGAGTGCGTGGTGCGCCATAACAGAGTGCGTGGTGCGTCATAACAGAGTGCGTGGTGCGCCATAACAGAGTGCGTGGTGCGCCATAACAGAGTGCGTGGTGCGCCATAACAGAGTGCGTGGTGCGCCATTACAGAGTGCGTGGTGCGCCATAACAGAGTGCGTCATAACAGAGTGCGCGGTGCACCATAACAGAGTGCGTGCCAAGCTTTGTTAAAAAGCCTGCGCTCTCAATAATAATTAACTATTGTTAACACCGATTGCTTTTTATTGCTTCCGCATCGATGCAGTTAATGATGACAGTCAGGCATCATTTGCGATCAGGATTGCTGCGATCAACGTCGGTGATTGTTGTGACCTGCATCGCTTGTGGCAATGATTGCGGCAGCGCGTGTTTTGATTGTGCTGCGCGTGAGGCAAATAAATTGTGGCAGCACGATGAATTTATAATCCATGGTTCAAAAGAGCTTCCAATGCTAATAAGAATATATGCATTTTTCCTATGTAAACCCTTTTATGTGTATAACTTGAACTTAAACGAGATGTGAGGCCATGTATATGCGGTTCCTCCATGAGAATTTTTGCAATGGATACGGATGTTATAAATATTTGTGAGTTGATTTGAGTGCTGACACAATTTTGTAATTTTTGACCATCTTGAAATACGAAGGCATAATAGTCGAATACGCCACTATCATACTGATATTTAGCCAGCCATAAACTAGTTTTAATTTATTGTTGAGTAATTTTTGTGTTCTAGTATACTTACCGTACTTGTTTTCTTCGTTCGCAGTGAGTTTCGATCACTTCCAAGTGCTTCGAGCCATCGGCAAAGGGAGCTTTGGCAAGGCAAGTACATGCAACAAAGTTGTGTTTAAAAATTGTTTCGGACAATTTCATACTCTTCGATTTCAGTATAACTTTAAAGTATTTGAATACTGTCTAGCAAAATAATTAACCAAAAACTTGGAGTCTATGTATTATCGATGCGTACATTGGCAATCGTTTTTATAGTAGACGAAAACTCATAGTCTTGAAATATTGCTACAGGTATTGATATCGGCATTGATAATATAGTAATTTGAATAGTAAGACGTTAACAAAAATACCGAATAAATTGACCAATAGCTGACGATACAAAATTCCTGAAGGCAGACAGGACATACACAAAAGAGAGCCAGACATGTTGTGCCGCTTCAGAGGTAGGACCTTAGCAGGCAGATTGCTGGCCGCTCAAAATGGTTGTGAGTTGGCCGGATATAAACCGGCCTTAACAGTCATCAGGAAGATTTTTTTTATCGTGTCCTTGTCTTCCGGATAGCATTGATCGCGGCCGATACATTCATTATTCAGCCTTTGGTACCTAGACTCAGAAACATGACTGGATCACATTGTCTAAGTTATGACACACATACTGCACGTAGAAATGATACGCGTTTCAGCCGTTCAAACTGCGCCAGGATGACTCAAAAGTTGACATAATATACACCGCGATTTGGAAAAAGTGTCACTCATTTCTTTGATGGTACGGTCGACCTATCGCCTGACGTCCGTCTTAAATAAATTCGTAATGCATAACTGTGCACTTTTTATGAAAATTATTGTGCTGATTGTTCTGTGAAACTCAGTCTGCCGTCAGTTGTTTAATACAGTCTTAAAAATCTTTGTTTAAGAAAGTTTAAGTTTTATTATTTTTTACCTTTAATGAATAAATGTTTTCTAATTGAATGTATTATTTGTGAAGCTATTAAAATAAGGAACTCATTTGCACTGATGAATGAATGTGTCGTAGAATAATTTAAAATTTTCAATTTCTTAGCTTTTAGCTTAATTGAAGGTCTTGTCCTAAAAAAACTGAAGTGAAAGATAATTTGCGACATAACGTTGTCAAGGCAACGATCTTATTCATCGGATATCACAGTGCTCGATAAAAAAAGAATTCGAATAGATAAAACAAAGCTCGGTGGATGATTGGAAACAGGATAGTTTGGCTCACACTTTTGTCTGATGGTGAAACCCTCGCAAACAATACTTGACCTCCCACGCTCATCGTAAGTTTTTGCGAACTTCGGCGTGGGATAAAAAGTCCGCCAAACTTTGCCCATCTCTGACGCTCGATTAAAGTTTAGTTCAACATTTCATTTGAAGAGAGATGTCTTGCAACCCATGCCCGTCTTTGCCTTACCATTCATTTTTGACATAAAATATTTTTTTTTTGTGGAAAGGTGTAACAACGGCTCCTTATCATTGACCCACCATTCACGTATTGCATAAAGTTTTGTTTATGAAAAGATGTTTAACAACGCTGCTCATCTCTCACGCATTAAACAAGTTTGGTTCGACCTGATACCTGAGTTAGTAACTCGGTTAAAGATTTTTTTAAGTTCTGGTGCACTAACAAAGCTTCTGTTAGAAGGAAGAGCTCCAACAAACACTGCTTGAGCTGCGCCGCGTGCTATGTAAACAAGCAGTGATCTCTCCTGTCAAATGCGGCCGGTCATGCATTTTAAAGTCACTTGCTGTCACAGTTCACTGTACCGACGTTACAATGAACTGCGGACGAAGGTGAACTGAGAACTAGGCATGGAATGAGTTTGTTGAGTTGGAGATTCGCGTCCATTGCAGTTAAAGCAAGGGACATCTTTCTTTTAGGTTAGGCGTACCGGATAAGTATTGTTTCGATTCGTGCTGAACGACATCATGAATTTTGCGCCATGCAGCCCTTTGCTCAACTCCCCCATCACCAACCTGTACACCACGCAGGTGTGCATCGTGCAGAAGCACGACACGCAGAAGCTCTACGCAATGAAGTACATGAACAAGGCGCAGTGCGAGGCTAAAGACGCAGTCGCGAACGTCTTCAGAGAGATGCAAATTTTGGCTTCCGTTTCGCACCCGTTCCTGGTCAACTTCTGGTTCTCTTTTCAAGGTAATTTTACATTTATCGAGATGGTATGATATTTTATTCTATTTATATTTAATTAAACGAAAATTTTTTTATTTTTTATTTATATTCATTTCACGAAAAAAAAATTTTCTTCAAGACGCAATTGTTCAATACCTTAGATTTATAATAAAATTGAATTTGAGTCTGTTAGTTCGATTTAATGACATGAGCAATTGAGACAACTTTTCGTTTGCTTTGTTTTAATATACCACTGTTAAAATGTTTTTTTTACTTTTTTACTGTTAGTAATTATGCTATTTTTTACATTTTCATCACTATCTGATGCTTTGTTTTAATTGAGGTAATTAAATAAAAGAAATGAAATATGTGATTTTCTCTTTTGTCTCAGGAACGTAATAATTTTATTAGCCTACAAGTCCAACCAATTTTTGCAGAATTTTCTTTTAATGATTAATTGAGTAAGAATTATCAGACAGCAAATATCACATAACAAATTCTTTATATGAATTCACAGCAAAGGAAATTTTTACGCAACCTTTGCCTCAAATGATTTACAATACGTAAAATTATTAGCAGTAGTTTACCTTTCCACCATAGATTTTCAACTCTAATTTGAAAAGTATACAATTCCAGAAACAAGACAGACTTAGCATTAGATAACCTTTGAAACCTCATCTTGATATCTCATCAGCATTAATTTATCTTCAATATTTCACCCTCGATTCTTTACTCGAAACTCACTCAGGTATAGTGATATCGTTTTCATTCATTTTAGCTTTTCTTATTTTTCCAAGTTTTTCCTATTTGTTTTATAGTATTTATACAACAGCATTCTGTTTGTTGAATGGTTCTGAGTTGTTCCTCATTCCTTTGAATTCGTCACGGTTATTTCATGTTCATTTTTTGGTAACTTATTTTATTTATAATTAGCTTTTTATTCTCATTTACAAATTTTCGAAACTGAGGTAGCAGATCTTAGCTGAACGGTAATAATTCGATGTTCCGTTCTGTTAAACATAACCTTATTGGGCGCTCTCCAGATATTGTATTTTCTCTTGCTTCTCTTGTAATTCATCTTGAATTAATGAGGGCTTCATTACGGAACTCTTCTTGATTGGCTAAGGGCAGGCCGCTCTTGAAAGCTTATCAATTCACCCGTAAGACTCGGATGTACGGCGCACTAAGCGGATTCTCTTCCAAAGCAATTATGTTTTTTAAATTGAACCCCGAATGGAGGGGTATTGTGGCCGCTTGAGCCCCCGATTGCTCATTTCTAGCTGCACAGATTATTATTAGTGCTGGCGAAATGTCTCGCAATAAAGGTCGGTCAAATTAGCCTCTGTAATGGGCTTTGGGGTTGCGTAATTCAATGAACGTGCGTTGCACTTAGAGGGTGGGTATTATGTCCTCGTGAGCCTTCTCTGTTCAATTCGAGCTGTGTTTTGGTCACAGAAATTGATTGGGTAAGGTATTGATGGAGTCAGGGATTTATTAGGTTCGACGAGGAATTTCTGCTCCAAAAAAAAATTGTAATTGTAGAGCCACGTGGGTCGTTTATGCGTCAGTATTGCGTCAGTTCAAAAATATGCACGAATATTGGCTGAAATTTTCTACATGTAAGAAATTAGGTTCTATCTGTGCTAGGTTTGTTCATTAGTTACGATGCCCGAAAGTAGCGCAAAATTTATGCCGTATATCGTCCAAGAATTTTCGATTTGATGGTCCATTGATCAGAATGATTACTTTCACTGGTTTTCTTTAATATGATTTAATTCCCATAACTGGAACATTTCTGGGAATATTTGCCCAAAATTCTTCTAGATTATTGAAGATGTCGGTCAATTCCTATACAGGCAAGGGAAGGTTCACCCTCGAAAGTCTGCTGCCAAGCGATCCAGGTTTGGAACAGCTCCTGGAGCCGAGGCCTCATTAGAGGCCGCTATAATTACGCTTGCCTTAGGACAGCACTTCATGATTACAGTATCGCGGCAATCTTTGATACATCCACGGTTTTTCGGTTGATGTTTGAAGTATTTTCTTGAGGAGGCTACTGAGGAGCTTAGAAAAATGTTATTCATGTTATATAACCAGTATTTCCTACGCACTTTTTACAAGCTTCACGTTTGAGACGTGGGTTAATTTGTTCTTATAGTGTAAACTACCACATGCAATTTATGGAGAGCTTTCAGGCTTAGAAGTTTATTTTGGAATTCATTCAAATTTTTCATTCAGATCCGTCACGACCTGAGAACTTCGATAATGGGATAAGTCCTTAAGTTTGTCATTTCCCTCAGTAACATTTCTGATTTAATTCATAAATTAATGTATAATGTATTTTTTTATGATTTGCGTCGAGCTTTTGCCTTTTCAAGCATTTAAGTTTAATGCTTCTTATCCTTTTTCTATCAATCAGCGTTTCCTGATTAAAATAGCTGAGAAATTCATCGAAGTTTTGCTGAGCGCATTGGCCAGAATATGCCTAATTTATCATTCATCTTCATTAATTAAAATACGCATGAAAAGTACTTCGAATCTCGATCATCGACAAAGCTTCAGCAAATTGCCTTCCTCACTTTAGAAGAAAATTTAGAGCGATCAACCAAATTCTTATGAGAGGCACTCAACAATCTCTCCATGATTTTAAACCGGGTTGAGTGTCTCTGAGTCCTTTGCTTTTATTAAAATATCATGAAGATTGCAGGCAATCGACAACGCCAAAGAAACTCCATCCCCTGAAGCATCCTCAAGATTGCAGCCTATCAACAGTTTGAAAGAAAATGAATATATGAGGACAAGTTTCATTAAACGAACCATCCTGAAGATTGCTGCCAATTTTGACACGATACTTTTGGAACGACGCGCTTCGGAGATACTTTCCATGCTTTATTTCTCTTTACGCTCGAACGTTCAAAGCCTAAAGGACTTGATTTTATTCATGAAATATCATCTAAACTTGGAAGCAAAATTCAGGTCGTGAGTCCATAAAATTTAAGCGCTCGGGTTCTTCATGACTTGGTTCCTGCGTCTAAAATTTAATTGGAATTGTGGCGTCCGTTTGGAGTGAAAGAAACAAAGTAAATGTGACAAACACGTGACTTTATGTGACGACCGACCAGCATAACGTATTATCAACAAAAAGAACATGTTCATGGCTGCAAATTTCATCTTCCCCTGCGCATTTTTTATTGAAGGACAAATGTGAACTGTTAAATTATAGGTGTTTCTACTTAGAAACAGCTGACAAGTATGACTTATGTCCCGATATTCAGACACCAAGGAAATGTTCATGTCTGGGAATGCCATCATCTTTCCATGCACATTTTTATTTAATGATAAATGTTGAACATTATCAATAGATACTTATACATAGGACAATTGACTAGCATGACTCATGTCCCGACTCCCGACGTCCAGATACCGAGGACATGTTCATGTCTGTGAATGCCATCATCTTTCCTTGCACATTTTTAATAAAAGATAGTTCTTAATTATTATTAACAGATAGTTCTACATATAAAAATTGAGCAGCATGACTCATGTCCCGACGTGCAGACACAGAAGACATGTTCATGGTGGTAGACCTGCTGGAGGGGGGCGACCTGCGCTACCACGTAAGCAACGGTGTCGCGTTCTCTGACGACGCGGTTGTCCTGTACGTGCTGGAGGCGGCGTGCGCTCTAGACTACCTCCACAGCAGGCATATACTGCACAGGTGAACATTATAATCTTCACAAGTGTTATTATAATGCTAATATCAGTATTAATAGTTTTATTATTTCTAAAACTAATGTTAGCGCTAGTACGGAAGTTGGTCGCGTAATAATAATATAAGTTTGTGTTAGGAGTGTTTTGGTAAGGGAGGGATTTGACCAAGATAAATCTTAAGACAAATGTTGTGAGCGATTGAAGTTCTCATTTGTATCCTCATTCATTTTCATTCGCCATGAATGATTTATATGTAAATTATCATAGGGAATAAAATACTTTTGCGTTATTGAAGTTATTGTTTTTTGTTCCCCAGGGACATCAAGCCAGATAACATGTTGCTGGATGACGAAGGTACGAAACTCATGGGCCATATGAGGTACTTTTCCAACACATTTAATAATGCAAGTTTCAATGATACATAAATCTAGTATTGAAGACCAAAAAAAAAAGAATTTCAACATTTTATATCGATTTAATCGATTTAGTTATAAAAAACTAGTGTTTCGAAGAATTCGAAGGCAAAGAAAGCACTGAACAAATTCAACAAATTCTCATCGAAAAAAAACTTCGGAGAGCAGCTCAAGAATTAGTTAATAAATGTAGGAAAATTCAAGCAAGCTAATTATGTAAGTACTTGTATACGAACCAAGTATTGAGAAGAGACGCTTCCAAGCAGTAACACATCTTTACAGATTTCTCTTCAAATTTTTAGTCTGGCTGTAACGTAGTGCCTACTCTTATAATATGCGTTTAGCATGCATTGCTTCCCAGTCAATTAAACTACATGTCTCTAAGCACATTTAATTATTATTTATCTTCACTATAGAAATAAATATATGAGCTCAATAACAGTAATTTAAATAATCCGGACCGATAACATTATTAATACGCCAAATGCAGAGTTGTTGTCATGAAGGTAATTTTGCAGTCATTATCTGCTCCTGCTGAGATGTTGATCTTTTGTCAACGTGCAATATTCATGAATAAATATATTTCGCCTCTTCATAATTTCAAAATTTTCATAAGCTCATTACGAGCGAGTCGAAAGAAAGTAATTTTATAGGAGAATCGAATTATTTTATAGAATTTAATTAAGTTAAAATGGTTTTCAAGGTATAAAAGCGAACATTTTGCCCGCTTGTGAAAGCTATATAGTTTTCTGCGTAGTAATTAGTAAGCTTGTCGCTGTGCATCGGAGTGGCAGAGCTCAGGGCGACCTCTCATCCACGCTTTGAATGAAGACCAAGTTGTTGTGCTGAAAATTCGCATATTTTTTACTAATTTGATGCCATTCATTCGAAACAGAAAAAAATCTTCATAAAATCCCCCTATGAAAGTTTTATGAATGCCCGGAAGATGAAGTGACATTTAACTGTCATTCAAGCTGGACATTTTCAGGATAATTAAGTAACTTGTAACCTGGTTCTTTTAGTGGTTATATATTATAGAACTTTTTGCGTGGTTGGTTATAATAATTTACCGGTAATGTCAATTGAACAATTACTATAATTAATACGAAGAAACAAAAATTTTTGTACATGTAATTTTTGTAAAGATATTTTTTAAACAATAGCCACCCCTCAATCGCCCGAGCAAATAGATTATGAAGATGCCTTTGGTATCCAGAGCACGTAGCGCAAATACAGAACAATTATTCGGTGGAAATTCGCTCGATATCCTGGACACGAATCCCATAAACGGTGAGACCAATATTGTGGCCTGCCACACTGACATCATTTGCGAGCGAAAACCAAATGATTAATTAACAGTTGACTTCTGACCTGCTCAATTCAATAGTATATTTTATTTATTTTAAGTTTATAAACAGTTTGTTTTGCCTTACTATGACGTCGTGTTTTCCTCTAAAATTTAATAAACGCTTCTGGAAAAGCAAATTCCTTATTGATACGTAAAACTTTAGGCTGAAACTACAATTGTAAAGAATATCTGCCATTAGAATTTGAACAAATTGATTCAAGTTTAATTTCGGTATCTGAAGACATTTCATGCTTTAATCGTCTCTTCTTCACCACGCATACACGGGAATACAACACATGTATTTGATGAACAACTCTATTGTGACATTGGCCTCTACCTAGATTATTAACCTGAACAAGAGGTAAATCTTGTTTAAAGATTTACAAACAACAAAGATTTACTTGTAACAAAGAAAGAACCTCTAAAGAAACGTGAATTTATCTCGTTTCGTTTTATACAACGGCTCAGGTTAAACCACGCATGGGTCGTTCCCGTTGCCAACATGTATTCCAGTATGATATTCATCAATTATTATACACATCAATAGATCAAGTTTACCAAATGGCAATCGTAGCCATTGGGAAATAAGACAAGAGTGGTTTAGGCTTCCAAGCTGATGGTCGGAGTGGTATCGATCCGCTCAAAAGGTGAACATGAAGATCAAGCTCGTTCAGAACATCGCCGTGACATTTCGTAATCCGACATGTTCCTTCAACCTAAGTGCGATCTCCGTGCACGGCACTCGGACGAAAAGCAGAAAAAGTGTTTTTAGACGGGAAATGAAGTTAACCTGGTTTAAATCATCGTAACGTTAGACTAAGATCATCGTATCGAGCGGCTAACATAATTTTAACGCTATGCTAACCTAATTTTAACATGCTGCTAACGTAATTTTAACGTGCGGATAATATAATTTAACATGCGGCTACCATAATTTTAACATGCGGCTAAGATAATTTTAACGTGCGGCTAAGATAATCGTATCGTGCTGTTACTATCATCGTATGGTGCTACGTTAATTGTATCTCACTTGAGCAGGTCACGTTCATTTAACAGACTTCAACATCGCCATAGAGCTGCACGAGGGCCAGCTGGCAACCTCCATGAGCGGGACCAAGCCTTATATGGGTGAGCTCTCAAATGCAATATAGTTTATTATTCATCATAGTATTTATTTATTATTATTCATCTCTATAGTTTAATTTCATAAAAAGAAATAGAATAAATGCCTATGTGCAGTCAAAAATTTATAAACGAGAAAGGCGGAACTCATTTAGGCAAAAACTTAAATACGAGAAAGGTGAAATTCATTTAGGCAAAAACTTGTACATGAGAATTCATATCGGCAAAAACTTATATACGAGACAGGCGAAATTTAAATGAATTAATTTAAAGTATATATGGGAAGGACACCCGTCATACCATGGCCCACCTTTAATGCACTATTTTTACTGGTATAAAAAGAAAAGCACGATTTTTTCATAGTCATTAAACACCAATGTATGTCAGCAAGCAACTATCAATATATACTAGTTATTTATGGAATAATAGGCCTCGCTATTATTTAACTAAAATAATTATCTTTATCAAAATGTCATTAATTTATTGATATTTATTATTCTAGAATATATCGAGGAGCGTTAGAAAAATTGAGGCATCAGTAATAATTTACGAATTATATTGATAAATATTATTCATAATAAATAAATAAAATAATAAAAGTTATTGATAGTGATGCGTTGGGACTATTTACATGGTAATATTACTAATTACTACCCATACATTGTTGAGATAACGATTTTCTTTCAGAACCGCGTAACCTATTAAGTATGAATATTCTTTATCATTGCTATATTATAGAGCAACATTAATTATGGCGCTCGAAAGTTCAGAGATGATGATGTTAAAATATAATCCGCGTAATATTTTATGTAGTTTGTCATCTTTTCGGGACTATTTGTTGAGAAATTGATGTCATAACTACCATCCTGCCAGAATTTGGCTTCGCTGGAATGCTGTTCATGATGCGTTTTGTTAGAGACATATAATAAAATATTCAAATGGTGGCATAATCCTTGTCACAAGAGACTCGTGCTCAGGTTTTAGTAATTTTTAATTCATTAAATTCGATGTCATAGCTACTCTATTAGTTTCTGGGCGGTATAGGTGACAAAACCATAATTTGTAACTATGTAGTTCATCATCTTTGTTGAACTATGCATTAAGTGGTTAGTGCCGTACAACCCTGGCCGGTGAATGAAAAAACTTAAATTGTATCATATTTTGTTCATAATCTTTCTTATTGTATTCATTTATTTGTAAATGCCGTAAAATCCTGGCCGGTGAAAGAAAAAAACCTAAATTGTTTCCTATTCTGCTCATAATCTTTCTTATTGTATTAATTTATTTGTTAATGCCGTAAAATCCTGGCCGGTGAATGAAAAAAAAACTAAATTGTTTCCTATTCTGCTCATAATCTTTCTCATTGTATTCATTTATTTGTTAATGCCGTAAAATCCTGGCCGGTGAATGAAAAAAAACCTAAATTGTTTCATATTATGTTCATAATCTTTCTTATTGTATTAATTTATTTGTTAATGCCGTAAAAACCTGGCCGGTGAATGAAAAAACATAAATAGTATCATATTTTGTTCATAATCTTTCTTATTGTATTAATTTATTTGTTAATGCCATAAAATCCTGGTCGGTGAATGAAAAAACCTAAATAGTATCATATTCTGTTCATAATATTTCTTATTGCATTTATTTATTTTTCAATGCCATAAAATCCTGGCCAGTAAAACTGACATAACTTTGTTGCCGGGTGGCCGCGGCAGCGCCGGAGGTGTTCGCATGCGCCGCGGACGCCGTGCCTGGCTACGGCTTCCCCGTGGACTGGTGGTCGCTTGGTGTCGCCGCTTACGAGGTCATTTTTACTAACTTGCTTTCTGCTATACACGATCTTTTGTTTATGATTTTCACGATTGTGTTACAGTATTAAAAGTAAAGACCATTCGCTTGATGATTCAATGATTTTTAATTAACTGAATGAAATATTAGATTAATTTCATCAATTTTCGACTGGAAAAAAATCAAAATTCACTGAATCGAAAGTGGCCTTCGATAAACAGACCATTATTTGCAGTTGAAGGTATAGCAAAACCACCTTGCATATGCATTAAAGAGAACTTTACGATGATGTAAACCACATTACAGAAAATTATTTGTGGTTATATATAAGTTAATAAAACTGCAGATACGCAAAGGGCGGCGCCCCTACGACATCCACGCTAACAGCAGCCTGACGGAAGTACGGCGGATGATGCTTAGCAGCCCTCGCTACCCTAGCGACTGGGGGCCTGCGCTGGTCACCTTATTGGACAAGGTTGGTCAGCCCCATGGTTGAACTGAAAGTAAAATTAGCATTAATAGTACATTCATTAATTAAATGCAATTTGTTTCAATTCATTTAATTTACTTAAGTTCTATTAGTTCAACCGTGTGTCAGCCCCTTCTTCATCACCACTATGAAATATTCATTCATTCATGGAATATTCATTTTCTAAGATTCCATATTTTTCCCTGTGTTGAAGTATCTGAGTACATGCATTGGGCAAACATAATAGTATGTTTTTGACTCTCGGTGTGAGTCAGAAAAATTATTTCGCTTTTTTAATGATTTGAATGGCGGAAACATGAGTAATGACTTCTGGTATTGGCATGCCGTTGAATAAATTTGAGTTTCCATTCAATGTATCGAAACATGTTATTTGTCCAGTAATAAAAGCAAGTTTTTGGGCGAAATGAAGGAGCTTAATTTATTTTGAAAATACGTGATGATGCAGGAGGGTTGGTTAATCTATGAAAGGGTTTGATTGCGAGAACCACGTGGAATTTCAAAATTTTTAGTTGTTCCTAATAAACTAAATCTATTAGTTTATTATTGATATTTGTCCCCGACTTAATTAAATGTGTCAGTTTTGTTTCAAGTATAACATTAATACCTATTTAGGCAGAATCATCAAAATTTATACTATTATGATGAATTTTACATCATTCCTGCAAAATATTAATTCATATATTAGTACACCAATTAATAGATAGTTGCTTTTGTTCTCGACTAGATAGTCGACTAATTGTTGAATTCTGGTCGACTGCACAAGTACAGCTATACCTACAACTCTCGGGGATATTTCAATGTTGTAAAATTATGCTGCTGGAAAAGTGTTGAACATCCACATTTCTGTCACATTCAGCTGTTGAGCCCGTCGCCCGCGTCACGCTTGCGCTCACTGGCAGAGGCCTTGCGGTTGTGCAATGCATACGGTGCTGCTACAGGAGGGGGTGCTGGAAAAGAGGGCACCGGAAGAGAGGGCACCGGAAGAGACAGTGCTGGAAAAGGTGGCGCCGGCAAAACAGTTATAGGGGGCAGTGTGGTTTACACAGCGGAGTCTCTGCTCAACAAGCAACACCAGCCTCCTTTTGTGCCTCTCGTGAGACTTCTCGTTTCATCATTATTTTTCATTCATTTTAATTTAATATTTACATCTATATAATATAGTTTCAATGGCCATATAATCACGCAACGAATTACTTCTCCTCACTAACCCTCGACTAAATGCATTGCTTGCTTACTCTGAGTTTTATGAAGATATACGCAATGATTTTTTATAGGGAAATATAGTCACTCAGTTATTTTTTTTAATTCTCGCTTAAAATCCTAGCTTCTCGTGTCGCCAGAAGGACCATCTGAACTGCGACCCCACGTTCGAGCTCGAGGAGATGATCATCGAGTCGCGCCCGCTGCACAAGAAGAAGAAGAGACTCTCGAAGCAGAGGAGCTTGTTGCAGACCCAGAGTAGCATGTCTGTTGCTGACGTGAGTGCAGGGTCTGTTGCTGGCGTGAGTGTAGGGTCTGTTGCTGACGTGAGTGCAGGGTCTGTTGCTGGCGTAAGTGCAGGGTCTGTTGCAGACCCAGAGCAGCATGTCTGTTGCTGACGTGAGTGCAGAGTCTGTTGCTGACATGAGTGCAGGGTCTGTTGATGACGTGAGTGCAGAGTCTGTTGCTGACATGAGTGCAGGGTCTGTTGCTGACATGAGTGCAGGGTCTTTTGCCGACGTGAGTGCAGAGTCTGTTGCTGACATGAGTGCAGGGTCTGTTGCTGACATGAGTGCAGGGTCTTTTCCCGACGTGAGTGCAGGGTCTGTTGATGACGTGAGTGCAGAGTCTGTTGCAGACCCAGAGCAGCATGTCTGTTGCATGTCTGTTGCATCATGCGAACGAGTTTTGATATTATGGCAATCTAAGTGCACGGCACTGCATTTCAGTGGCCCGGAATTTTACATCATTATATTAGATCATCCAAACGAGTTTTCATCCCCCACTGACAACTCATACGCCGGTACAGCTCGGCAACGCTGCCCCCTACGACCAAATGCTCATCTACAACCGAGAGCGCGAGATGGCGGAGCTCGAACGCGAAAAACTCGAGCGCCAGTGGCAAGAAGAACTCGAAACCTCCATGAACATGTCCGACCCCACCGGCCTTGGTACGTGTCACACGTTTTCTATATTCGTGAAGAAATAGTGTGCTGTTTTTCTTACTAATGATAAGTTTTCCCTTGTGGGATTTTTGTTTCGTGTGTTTTTAAGCTTTCGATGCACGCCGTAGATTTGTGGTTTAAAGAAGATTCAATAGATAAGATTAAGTTTCTGGTCAGAATCGCGACAGTTTCTGGTCAGAATCGGCAAGGAGGCGGGCGGTTAAGCACATCAGAATTGTAGCAGTGCGTTGCGAGTTCGAGACCTCAAAATGATATGAATGTTCTGCGATGTTAAGAATCGGCGACAGGCCTACGGCCTAATATACGCTGAAACCGCTATTATTAAATTATAAGTTCATCATGCTGGAAAAAATACAAAATTTTATTGTCGAATATATCTCTATTTTCTATTTAGCCTTCTTAGCTTTTTCAATGCCTGAAATGAAGCAATTTAGAGATTTGCCTTTACTGATTTATAACTTTAATTTCTATATAAATTTTGCCTTTTCGGTTGATGAGTGCTATCTCAGGTATGTAATCAACGAATTTATTAAACTTATGGGACACGCTTGATTTTCTCCTATGTTTCGTCAGGTGCCTCATACACGGGCTGTAGGTGTTTACTGGACAGAACAGCTGTGAAGGAGTGCCCCCGGTGTGTTCCTTTGGCACCATGCGAGTCCTGCAGCAGCAGGTCCTTCAGTTCCTGTGCCACCACAACCTCCTTGTCCGTTACTACAGCCGACATCGCAAATAACATCAATAAAAGACACAAATGTTCGGCAGAAGTCCCTAATACTAGTACTTCTCCTGAAGATACTTCTGAAGCTGATGATTTTATAGACACGACAGCAACTGCTAATATTGGGAAGAACGTTAGTAAGACGACACCTATTACAGACATTAGCAATAATGTTAGTAAAACGACAGCCAATTTAGATATTAGCAGGAATGTTAGTGAGACGACAGCCAATAGAGATGTGAGAAGGAAAGGGATCCAGAGCACTACTGTTGGCACTAATACGGATGAAAGTAACATGAATGTAGGGCACCTCGTCTTTGATTCCGGGACCAATAGCGGTAATACTCAGTCCTCTGCCAAGTTAAATTGTAATTTTACGGATTCCACCAGTGCTGCTGGACTTGACCATCACAAATACACATATACAGATTCCATTACAAATTACACTAGATTAAGTAGCAGCAATACTAAAAGCTGTAGCAACACTGGGTTGCATCGTCCTAATGAAAGTGGCGAATGCCGCATAACCACATCACGCTCGGCTATTTGGAGTTCATCGCAAGGCTTCGTGGACATCAAAGACGCTCGTCGTCTGATGAACTTGAGGGAGCCTAACGCGGCGGAAGAATCTTCTCCTACAGACCAATGCAGGTGTTTGCTGCCTCGGGTCGCAGGTGCGCAGGAAATTCAAAGGGAAATTTGTGGAGAAAGAGACAAGTGTAATGATGGAATGAACGAAGATGTTATTTATGAAGAGGGATTTTGTGTTTGTAATCAACTTGATTGCGAGGGAAGTAAAGGTGATGATGATGATGATAGAAATGGCGACGATGATGAAGATTCTCAAGAGTTTATTCATCACCTTGAGAACATAAGCTATGTTCATCAGAACGAAAAAGACATTTTCCGAACCGATGCAAGTTACGAAACTTCGTCCAAGGGATATAATAATTTGTTACAAAATTACTGTCCATTACCAGCTTCCGAAAGCTTGAAAAGCAAAAGTGATCTTGCAGCCAGCCTTCGGTCACTTGAAAATTCCAGCCTTTCTCTGGCCTCTAAAAGCCCTCGTAAAACATGCAGTGATCTTGCAATAAGCCATAGCTCTATTGAAAGTAAAAACCTTCCATTATCGAGCAAAAGTACCGATAAAACATCAGGTGAATTTGCTGTCAGCCAGCACCCGAAGGATAATGAAAGCCCTCCATTAGTGAATAGAACTGCTCGTCAATGTCGATCCAATGTCAATAAATCATTTTTCGGTACGAATTTCGGTGCGAGTTCGGATGGTAAAAGTTCGAGAACTTTGCTGCCGGAGGAAGAGATTCGTGTTTACGGATCGCCTTGTAGCTCAATAGCTGACGATTACAAGTCAATGTTCGACTCAACGATGTCGTCTCGCTCTTCGTCTGCCTCCACTCGCTACCATTCAGCGACCGACTCGACTGGATCGCCTTCGAGCCGAAAGTTCCCGTACAGAATTTTCCAAGTCAGTAACTATTCATTTCATGTACATGAAATAAAATAGCTCATAAATTTACGTTACATAAGTGCTAGACCCTTACAACATAGAATTTGAACGTTATACACAATAACCTTAGGCCAACCCATTTTTCCTCATAATATAATCTGCTGTCTCTAACAACCCTTAATTGAAATCTTTTACACTTACGTTACAACTTCACGGCCATTTCCCTCATAACCCACTTCTCCTCTTTACCTATGCTTCAATTTCTGGACCCTTTCCCTCACAACCCTCATAAAACACTCTCCTCCATGCCCTCACAAAGCTGTCCGTGGGAGCTTCCACGTGTCAGAGAGCTCGCCTTATGCGGGATTTTAGTGAAAGTGTTTGCCTAGGCAGCAAAATTACGACCAACCGAGTTGCGCGTAAGTTAGACATACTGAAAGTTTTTTTTTCCTCCTGTCGGGAGCCTAGAGTGGAGATTAGCCATGAAAAAACGCTCATATGAAGCGTAGATATTTTAGCATAGTATTTTTTTTAATTACTTTCCTTTCGAGGTCTTTGGTCGACTTTGTGCTTTTAATTTTATTGACATTGATTAAAATCTTTTCCTATACTGCAGAAATGTCTTTCAAAATAGTTAGTATTTAGGCTAAGATATCATAATCCTCATTTGCAGCATAATTAATTATTGTGTTACAAATTTTTCATCGTGCACATAAGCGTAATTTCCTCATTACGGAAAGATAAGATCATATGATAAAAATTGCAAATTAATTTTTTCCAACAATTTATAATTTTCCATTAAGTTTACAGTTTATTTTTCTTCATTCGTAAATAATTTTTTTCCCTAGAAGTAATCTCGAAAAATATTTTTTTTATCCGCCTCAGAGTCAACGCTCGGCGGCGAGCGACACAACGGATGATATTGATGAAGTGTTCGATGTAACGTCGTCCCTTGGCGACCTGATGACGTCGAAAAAATCTTACCACGAAGAAATATTAACGTCAGACAAATCCTTCGCCAATGATGTTAAAACGCTTAAAGCTCCTCGCAGCGTTACTCAGAATTCAACTTTATGTAACGTCACACCTGTGCGGGCAAATTCATCGTCTGGCAACGTCACACCTCAGTCGATAAACGCAGCGTCTGGCAACGCTCCTGAAATTTCCAGGTCAGGCAACATCTCCCAAAAGCTGTCAAAGTCGACATCAAGCTGCGATACACCGATACTAAAAAAATCTGCATCGATGAACGCCAGCAGAGCCCAATCATTCAGTCATGGCCCGTCGGGTGAAGGAGTTGCTGTCTCGAGAAAAGCTGCCTTTCCAGAATCAGACGATAAATTGAATGTCGACGTTGTGACAGAAGTAAATCCGCCCTATGATTCTGGTGTGCGTGCAAATATTGGTTCTAAGTTTGCGCCTTCACAAGTCTACACAGACAAAGGCACGGTCAAAGTTTTAGAACAAATCCAAAATATTAGCGACGTGAATGTTGATGAAACTGAATTAGTTTTAAGCGAGCGTTTTGAGGCGGCGAATAGCGTTGCCACTAAAAGCGTTCGATCAAAGTCTTTAATTCCAAGATCCGAAACTAAGTCCTTAGAGAGCTCGAAGTTAAGGGAAAAGGATTTTGAGCGAGTGGAAACCTCAAAGAATGCAATAAGTCTTGGAAAGAATTGTCGCTTCTTTAAAGGGCTTCATTCTGATCGGCATTTCGCAACAACTCGAAGCGTCGATTCGTGTTTATTCGAAATCCTCGAAGAGAAAGAGTTCGGACTCATTGCAGAAAGCGACGACGATGCCAAAAAATTCGAAATGATGAATAAGAATAACGCCATGAACAATGCTCGTATGCTGCAGCAAAAGTCCTTTAGTTGGGTATGCGAGGGACACAGAGATATCAAAAGACTACAGTCAACGCGCTACGTAACTGACAAAGGCATCTTGCAGAACGAAGATACCGCTAAAGCATCCAAAATTTCTACTGCCGCCCCTGACTTGCTAAACGCTATCACATGTACAACTCAGGTCGTTACTCCGAGTTTCTGTCGCGTCGACCGCGAAACGAGTAATAAAATCGAGGATTTTTCTGTGATTTGTAGCGCTGAAGTGAAGCGATCATCAGTTATTGGCGAACGAGAAGCTCAAGAGAAGGAGCCCAATAAATTCTCCAGCTCATTGAAATCGCTCAAGTTTACGAGGTCCGTTTCGAAGCCTGAAGTCAGGACCAATCGCCCCGATGTGGCTGAGAGAAAAGAAGTTCTTGGAGGCAGCGAATCTTTGCAAGAAATCACCGCCGAAACTCCAAACAAATCCAACAGAAACGCTGAAGGGATTCTCAGAAGCGCGTCCTTTTCGTTCAATTCATAAAGGAATTGATTGTCTGCAATCAATATCTGTGTTTGACCTTCAAAAACTTGTCAGAAGATTTTTGAAATTTTGTATTTAATGTGCCCGACAACTTGTCGTATGCATTTTCGGCATGGCAAAGCCTATTTTATGTTTTTTTTAGATTAACCGTTCGCTTATGTTAATTCATTATCCTGCCGAAAATTAAATACAATAAGTTCACCCATGAACTATTCGTTTTAGTAATTTTCAGGCTTCAATATACGAGGTTTTGCTGAAGTATCACCTTTGCAATTAGGCCACAGAGGCTTTTTCAAACTCGAAGCCGATCAATGCAAGTTCGAAAGGCTGCCAAGCCTCATTTGTTTTGTAAAGATCTGATGTCGAGGGGTGCTTTTATCACGAATAGCACTAAGGAGTCTTACACTGCAAAAGATCGTGGTCACAGTTCTTTTTCTCGACATGTTCTACTTTTTTAGAAAGTTCATTCAATAATGTTTGAGTGCTTATTTAAATTCGGTTGTGATTAATTCGTATTTCTTGTTTTGTTTTGGTGAATATACATATTCGCAATTTACTGGAGAGCGAAGTAATGTTCGATTCATCAGGTGAATTGAATTGTAACTCATAGTTTTGAATTTAGTAGAGCCTATGAATTAAGTGCTTAGTTATTTTTATCGATTCTCATTCTTCCTCGTGTCTATTTACTTTTCGCTTGCTATTAAACTTATGTGTGACGTGCCCTCGAAAGTTAATTTGTACCAGATGCCACGATAACTGCTTCGAATAATAATAATAATAATAAATCATTTTATGTCATGAGTATTTAACTATATAGGCAACTACGTCATTTAATTGAGACATGCGTACCAATCAAAAAGTACGACTAAGTACTTTATAATCATGATGTCCAAATTTATTTTAAAAGATTTTACATTATAATCGTGTAAATATTAGTTCTATGCATAATTTGGTTAAAATGACATGTTTAATTAAACATATTTTAAAGTATTTGCGCTTATTTTGAAAACTGAAACTGAAGTACGTGGGCTCATTTCTGAATGATGTGACACAAAAAGTTTATCCCAACAATCTCTTGGGATGAATTAGATTACAAAAGTGTTTAAATTCCATTTTACAGAGTCGTTCATTTGAATAATTCAAACTCATTAAACAACATTACATATTACAACACTGATACAAAAACGTAATTACATAATACGTAAAACATGTAATTGTTAGATGCGAAAGATTTCAGAATGATCGCTGTGACTTGAGTTGCTTCGAAGCGTATATACTGCATATAGGGTTGCAGGAACCATTTAGAGCCTTCACAAAGCGTATTAATACTGAATAAATTAATTATATAAATAATAAATAATAGCTTTGTTCCTAAGTCTGATCTAACAATTGCGAAACAAAGCTTGGCAATCTGCTCTCTGGAAAAATGTTTTGTGTTAATTTCAACATACCGAGGCCGTTGACCACAATGGAAGACATATGTAAATTACAATCGTCATCAAAAAATATATATTTGTATTGACACGGTTTAAGTTATGAGTTTATAATTTGTTATTGCAATGTGTCATGGTTTCAAGTTTTAAGCTAAGTTAAATTTTCTGCTCATTTTAAGTTTGCAGAATATTATGAATGAAATTTTACTCTTGATATCATTAGGAGCATCACTTTATATTTATTTTGTTAAATGCATGAATTCTGTATGAAAGAATCGCGAATTCCTTTTTACCTCTTTGGCATTCGACTTTTAAATGTCGTTTGATTTTTTAGACGCTGTTACCAAGACTTGGTAAAAATCACATTTGACATTGGACAAAATCACATTTTCGACCAATAAGAAACGCCGTGATTTTTCCTTTATTTTGAGCACGCGGTGGAAAAACTAAACTAAGTGTT